GAAACAACAGTCAGTTGCTTCCCTGCATGCATCCAGCCAAGCATGTCCCTGGCTGGTAATCGAACCTGTAACTTTTCGGTGCACAGGATGATGCTCAACCAGGTCTCCCTCACCCCTCCAGAATTATTTTAAATCTTTTGAAAGTTCATTTTTATTTAGTTCAGAAAAATTTGCTCTGAATACTTTGGCTGGTTTACATTCCTGCTTAGTGAATACATTTATTTTCATAGAGTTTATTTTCTATGTTCATGGATCTTAGAGCTGGAAGGAGTCTCTTTGACTTCAGAGTTTTAATTTATATTAAAATCAATAAGAAATATATATAATAAGGTATTTTCAAATGAAAAACAATACATCCAACATGCAAAAACGCTGGGAGGCATGTTAAAGGGGAACTGGGAATTAACTCTAGGATGTGGCAAAACACCCGTAAGCACAAATCAGCATTTCATAGCCAGTGATATATATATAGTTTATTGGGTATTACTAGAAAGTAGTTCACAATCAAGGATGCGCATAATAAATTCTGCCACCGCTGCACTTGTTGGCAATCACTTTCAGCCACATCAAGTCTCCAGATAAATGTGTTCTGTCTGAACCAACTCTAACAGGAACCCAGACAGCTAACCTGTGTGTGCTTTTGTAATTAAGAAGCTGAAGGTCTTCCTCCTTAGAAAACCAGGACACAAAATAACTCAGAGCTCCTCCTTCCGCACTCTACCTGGAACTCTGCTGCACTCTGCAGCCAACATAAGGGTAAGAGCTTGTACCTCCGTTATACCCTTATTTATAAATGAAAAACAAACAAACCAAAGACCTGATTTTTAGGGTCAACTAGAATTCCATTTTTGTGGATTTTACAGGAATTGAAAGCACAGACTTTAAAAATTTTGTTTTGCTAAAACCTTCAAGGAAACATACACAACACCAAATTAGGCTCTGTGGAATGTGACCCAAAGAACAAAGCTAAGGAAGTTGACTTCGATCCTAAACTTGTTTATTATTTCTCTCTGAGAACCTCATCTACCAATCCCCAATGTTTCTCTGCTAACCTTTATTCTTACAGTTTTTCTAAGCAATTACACATCCTGTAGCTACAGTTTCCTTCATTAATCCGTTTGGGGAAAAGTAATGTCAGATAAGTAACACCTGCTTCCTTGAGTTAAATCAGGATGCACATGGTCCATCTGCAATGCTAAGCTGTGGCCAAGAAATTTCAGAGGCAACTGGACAGTCAGTAACCTCTACTCAAATGCAAATGCAACACTGTTTGCTAGACGATTGCAGTGGTTCATAACCCTGGGTAAACAGGGTTGAATGCTGTCGGTTTTAATTTTTTCTCTTTTTTTATTGAGACAAAATCTATCTATAAAAAGTCCATCTACAAGTTTGACAAATGTATACAGTTGTATTGTGTCCACCACCATCAAGATGTGGAATTTTCACCACTCCACAAGGTTTCCTCATGCCTCCTTCCAGTCAATCCCCTCCTTCCATCCCAGCCACTGGAAACCACAGATCTCTTTTGTTTCCATAGTTTTGATGTTTCTAGAATGTCAGATAATGAAATTATACAGTATATGTCTTTTGTGTCTAGCTTTTTAACTTAGTGTGGTACTTTCAAGAATCATCCATTTTGGTGCATGTATGAGTAGTCTGTTCCTTTTTGTTGCTAAATAGCATTCCATGTATAGGTAAATCAGAACTTGTTTATTCATTCACCAGCTGAAGTACATTTCGATTGTTCACAGTTTGGGGCATTTACCACTTAAGCCGCAACAAAGATTTACATACAGGTCATTGTGCGACATGTGTTTTCAATTCTCTTGGCTATGTGTCTGGTGTATATAGTTAAATGCATCTTTGCCTTTATATTAAAAATGCTCAACTGTTTTTTCAGAGTGACTGGATCCTTTTGCATTCCCCCCAGCAATGAATGAGAGTTTGTTTTTCCACATCCTTACCAAAACTCGGTATGATTGGTCTTTTTATGTATTAATAATTCTAGTGTTTGGATGGTAGTATCTCATATTGGTTTTAAACATTTGCATTTTCCTCATGATTAAAAATTAGGAGCACATCTTTTGTGTGCTTATTTATCATTCTTATATCTGTTGTGGGTTGTTTGCCTTCTTACAGCATTTCATAAGTTAAGGGTGTGTTTTCCCCTACCGTGGTCAGCAAACTGCGGCTCGTGAGCCACATGTGACTTTTTGACCCCTTGAGTGTGGCTCTTCCTAAGCCTTAGGAGTACCCTAATTAAGTTAATAACAATGTACTTACCTATATAGTTTAAGTTTAAAAAATTTGGCTCTCAAAAGAAATTTCAGTCGTTGTACTGTTGATTTTGGGCTCTGTTGACTGGTGAGTTTGCCGACCACTGCCCTAGAAGTTTTATTGTTTTAGCTCTTACATTTAGGGTATGATCCATGTTGAGTTCATTCTTGTTCATGGTAAGAGTTGAGGTTCATTCTTTTTGCACGTGGATATCCTCTGGTATTGTGCCACCATGACTGTGGGCTAGTGTGGAGCTTGGGGTCTTGGAGGAGGGTGTTCACTGTGCTCCTGCATCATCCCCCTCCGCAGCAGGCCCTGCACACCTGCATCCTATAAGGCTGCTCTCTCCATGCTCTTGCCCCTCCCTTAGTGCACCACAGTGTTCCTCGCCATTTGGTGCGAACCTGCTGGGCAATGGGGGTGGTTTCTCATTTCTCCGACTCCACCCCCAATCTCAGGCAGACCCTGTACACCTGAGCCTCAGGAGTGGCGTTTTCTCAGCAGCCCTGCCGGCTTCTCAAGCACTTGGAGAGTTCCACTTCTCCCCCCTAGTGTCAGCTAAACTCTGTCGTTAATTGGCGGAAACCTTGGGTGTGAGTAAGGTTCTCTCCCTCCGGTTTGGCAGCCGAATATGGCCTTGCAAAGGGCAGATGTCTCTGCACAAAGAGGATTTTTGCTGCAGCTGATCTTTGCTGGGGTGGATGGAAGGTTTCCTGTCCTACCCCAGAGGGAGCAACGAAAGGTCAGCTCTGGGACCTGGGCTTTTCCTATTCCCCAGTGGTAAGTGCCTTTTACTTCATATTTGCATATTTAAAAGGGGTTCAGGACACAGGAGGTTTGGGGCCTGTCTATAGCTGCGGCCAATCACTTCCTGGTGTTCACAGAGTTTCTGGAGAATGTATGGGCTTCTGAAGATACCCCTGCTCCACTCTCAATCTTTGGCAAACCTTGCACAGCTTGTGTTACTGAAGCAGGCACAATGGCCGTTTGCGCTGCCTCTAATGTTAATCAGCAGTGCTTGCTGGAGAATCGTGGGAAATATTCCAGTGCATATAGACGCCCCATATCTGGGTTCCCAGAGATGCTGAACTGTCAGTCTTGCCCTTAGTTTAAGAATCCATTACAATTGCAAGAGGTAAAGGAAGGCTCACATCTCCGGGCAGCTTCGTGTCTCATGACCTTTGTCCTTCTCTCTTGCACCCATCTCCTCACAGAGACTGCCCCCCACCCCATCTATGGATGATCCGTTCTCCTCTCATGGAATTTCTAATGTTTCTTTCACTTTACAGTCGGCTGCTCAGCTCATCTAGCTTTGTTTTTTTCTTGCTCAGAGTATAAATACTTTCCCCTCTTTTTATCACACGGTATGCTTGGCATCTTGAAAGGCTAGCACCCATTTTTAGATTGTCAAAGAATGGACCAGAGAACCATCTTCTGCAAGAGCTGGTTTTCAAGTTTTCAGAGACATACAGACACACTTATTTGGGGGAACTCGTGTTGTAGTTTCATGTGTGAAAGCTGTGTTGGAAGAGGGGTCTGTGCAACACAGGTGTGCACAATGGTGGTCGCTAGCTGACAGCGGCCACTTCTACGGTCCCTCAGTGGTGTCCCAGCCAGTCAACCCAGCAGGTAACAGATGAATAGGATTTATTTTTTTCCCTAAACACCTGAATTGGGTCCCTCTTCTTATTTTAGAGGAGTTTTCAGGATTAAGCAGACACCAGTGGACTTGAGAAGAATTATTTGGGATTTATTTCTATAATAATTTAATGCTTTAGGTACATTTTTTTAGTATAAAAGGGAGAAAAGAAGAGGAATGTTGTATATGGGAGGCATCATACTCACTCTTTTGCATGTTTATTTTAAGCATTTTTGTGTATCCCTTTGTATATTGCAATTGGCTGAAGTCCACAAAGATGGGCTTTCTACATTCAGCTGCTGCAGTGTTCAGATAATTTAAATGAACTGTTAGGAATCAGTTTGCAGGTCAACAGTTTCTCTTTAAAGGGACAAAAAAAAAAAATTGCAAAAGCAATGTTGCTTTGCAGAGGGGAGTCCCACAAACGCTGCTATGGGTGGGATGGGGCTGGTGCTGTGTAACCAGTGTTTGGCTTTCTTTTCAAGTGGGGGCAATGGGGAGAGAACCTAGAGTGAGGCAGGTTCTCTTCCCCAGCCCTTGTCTGTCTGTCTGTGGTGGTTTCTGTTTCAGGGAGGTGTGGTGGGATCATAAGTCATTCCCCTCCCCTTCTAGGCCTCCTGCTGTAAATGGAGGACCTGTCTGGTTTCTGGTTTGGCTGGGGTCCCATAAGGGTATGGGACCCTTCAATAAAGGATAGCAAACAGAGAAAAAAAAGTGTTGCTGAATTTATTTATTTATTTTCTCAATTGATTTTTTAGAGAGAGTGGAAGTGTGGGAGGGATGGGGGAGGGGAGAGAGAGAGAGAGAGATGTGAGAGAGACACATTGCCTCCCACACACACCCTGACTAGGGCCTGGGATCAAACCTACAACCCAGGCACATACCTTTGACTGGGAATTGAATACTGCATGGGCTTATGCTCTAACCATTGAACACCCTTGCCAGGGCTGAATTTCATATTCCCCAGTTTAGAAATTAAAATGCAGAGAAACGAATTCTGCTCCGGGAAGCGAGGCGGGCAGGCGGCCGCGGCGATTCCACGTGCTCCACGTGGCGGGTTGGAACCGTTGGCGGACACCGGCTGCGAGGCAATGCTTGCTATCTTCAGTTGGAGGGACTGACTTTTCACATGGTGTATTTTTGAAAAGATTTAAAGCCTATCTTGTATAGAGAATATTTAATCATTTAGCTAAAAATGGTATTTTTTACATGCAATGCATGTGGTGAATCAGTGAAGAAAATACAAGTGGAAAAGCATGTGGGTGTTTGCAGGAACTGCGAGCGCCTTTCCTGCGTTGACTGCGGTAAAGATTTCTGGGGCAAGGACTACAAAAACCATGTGAAATGCATAAGCGAAGACCGGAAGTACGGCGGCAAAGGTTATGAAGGGAAAGCCCACAAAGGCGATATCAAACAGCAGGCGTGGGTGCAGAAAGTTAATGAATTAATAAAAAGACCCAATGTCAGCCCCAAAGTGAGAGAACTTTTAGAGCAAATTAGTGGTTTTGACAACATTCCCAGGAAAAAGGCAAAATTTCAGGAACCAGCCAGTAAAGGGCAAGAGCAAAAGCCACTCAACCAAGTGGCAAAGCCACCTGCAGAAATCAGCACCACGGTGGCACCTTCCAAAGCCAATGACACCACGCAAGGACAAGCAGAGGCAAAGAAGAACAAGAGAGAGAGGAAGGAAGAGCGGCAGAAGAAAAGGAAAAAAGAAAAGAAAGAACTAAAATTAGAAAACCACCAGGAGAAAACCAAGAGTCAGAAGTCTAAAAAGCGCAAAATGAGGCCTGAGGCCGAGCAGGAGGCGGGAGGGAAGGGTGCCCCCTCAGCCACGGGCCCCAAAGGGAACAAGAGCCAGGGGCCGAGGAGCACAGGCGAGTGTGGAGTGAATGGAGATGTGGACAAGGAAGAGACAAACATGGGAAAAAGGAAACAGAAGCTTTCCGAAGTTGAAGCATATTCTAAGAAGAAAAAGATTAAGTTCCCAGGACTGGCTGAAGGCGGAGAGCCAGAAAATTATGAAGCTCCTGCTAAGGGTAAATTCAGTTGGAAGGGGACTATTAAAGCAGTCCTGAAGCAGGCCCCAGACAATGAAATAGCAGTCAAAAAGCTAAGGAAAAAGGTTTTAGCTCAGTATTATGCGGTGATGAACGAACACCACAGGTCTGAAGAGGAGCTCCTGGCCATCTTCAACAAGAAAGTCAGCAAGAACCCTGCCTTCAAGCTACTCAAGGACAAGGTCAAACTTTTGAAGTGAACATTTTTATATTTAATAAATTGAGTCCATTCTGTTGATTTCTTCCTTTCACTGCTGTTTGTAAAACATGTAATAAATAATAACTCAAATTTTTTTTTCTTATAAGAAAAATATATATTTTTGGTAGATCTTTTATGAGCAAAGAAACTATATTGTCCTGAAAAAAAAAAAGAAATTAAAATGCAGTTGTCATTTGCAGGAAATTACTGAGAAACTATTCCACACTGTCTCATCTATCTGTTCATATGCATAAACCAGTTAGCATATTTTTTTAAGTGTCTAAAAGTGGATAATCAGTGATCACCTAAAATAATTGGTTAAACTGTCAGCCTTTAAATTGACCCCATTGGCTCTATATGCCTCATTAAGTGTAATGTTTAATTACATTAACCTTTTCATTCAGTCATATTTGTACATTACATACTGTGTTCAGGCAGATTTGCAGTAATGCAAACGTAAATCAGATATAAACTCTATATTCAACAGTTTATAACTCATTAAGGATGCTATGAACCCAAATAATTACAAGACAAATTAGAAAGTTGTAAGTTGAATACGAAATCACTTGTTATGGGCCTTAGAGGTATGACAGATGCATTCCAGATGGGAAAGTGAAGGAAGACTTTGTGGATAGGTGACACTTGGCTTCAAACAACAGATGTGTTTGGAGGTGTGTAGGTAATGAAGAAAGGCTTTCCAAACAAAGCAAAGAACAGGTTTCTGGCAGCTTTTAGAAATGGTGTTGGAACAAGAGAGACTTACTAGTATTTCAAGTGCCAGGTCTGAAATGAATGTCCTCCAGGATAACAATGCCATGAAAACACACCAGGCACCTACTGTGCCCAGGGCCTGTTCTTACAACTCCCTTTCATATGCATGGCTTGTCCGGGTTCTGTAGAAGGCCAATACCGCACTGGTGCACTGAACTCTACCTCTGCTTTCTCCCTCAAAATATTGCTCTTAAAATTTTCCCCATCTCTCATCATAATTTTTCTCTTTTTTCTGCATCGTGCCCATTCATGAATATGCTACACAACAACAAACAATCACACACACACACACACACAAAACAACCCCTATCAGTTTGGTCTCACTGCACACCAAAAATTCAGTGGCTCAAAATCAGCATCCATTTTTAGCTTGCAGTTCCGTGGTTGGCAATTTAGGTTGGGCTCAGTTGGTCAGTTCTGCGCTTTACTGAGCTGGCTGGTGCATCATGTTGCTTCACTAGGTGGTTCTGCCTTAGGGGGTGGGTGTCTGCACTCTGAGTGGCAGAGGATGTAAAATACAAAATGGAAACTATCTCAATAACTTCTTATAGTGATTGCAAAATGAAATAATATATTGGGTTAATATAATATTTTGTAATGTTATATGATGTGGGATAGTATATCATATGATAGTGGGTTAATATGATAAAATGTGTAATTTAAATCAATTTTAACATTTTGTTTTACTTTTCACAAATGTGGCTACAAGAAAAATGTTTATTACATCCATGACTCACATTGTATTTCTATGAGACAGCAGTAATCTAGGGCTTGCAACTCAGTGTCATTTTGGATCAGCAGCTTAGCAACCTCTTGTTAGAAACACAGAATGTCAGTGCTTCTCAGATCAGAATCCACATTGTTGAAGATCCCCAAGTACCTCATATGCAAATTAAGATTTAAGAAGCCGTGACCTAAGGGACATAGAAGATCATAATAGTGATTCTACAAGGGAGATAAGAAAGCATAATATAATCTACTCTCAGGGAATTAATTGAGTGGTATTGTTACTGTTGGTTTAGCACTGTTCTAAGTGCTTTAGGTGTATTAGCTTGTTTAATAAGGTATAATGGAGAAGTATGTTTATGATGATCAGACAGCATACAGAAAAGTTTACATGAAAATTCACATTTAGAGAATAGCTCCTGTACATTTTTAAAATTCTTTTTAAAGCTGTTGATCATAATTAAAGCACTGAATGATACATAAAATATAATGCAATGCAGGTGATATGATGATTAAGGGGAAGAAAGGTGATTATTAAAATATGGCAGGAGCCCTAGTTGGTTTGGCTCAGTGGCTAGAGCGTCAGCCTGTGGACTGAAGGGTCCTTGGGTTTGACTGAGAGCCCAGTCAAGGGCAAATGCCCAAGTTGTGGGCTCGATCCCCAGCAGGGGGCGTGCAGGAAGCAGCTGATCAATGTTTTCTTTCATCATTGATGTTTCTATCTCTCTTTCCCTCTCCCTGCCGCTCTGAAATAAAAAAAATATGTATATTTTTTAAAAAGATGGCAAGAAAGAATTATATTTCTTAATAGCAGAATAAAAAGTCAAATAGTGTTTTTACAGGAGATATTTCAAAATAACAAACCATTTCCTAGATTGTTTAGAAGGTGGCATTGGGAGTTCCACAAATGTGCCATGGAATGAAACACAGGATAATCTGCAATTATTTATTGCTATTTTCCCCAGGCATTGCTATAAAATTGGGTAAAAATGCACTTCAAATATAAATGGAAAAGTCTGCATTTCCCTATAGTCTATTTTAAAGGCAAATATGAAACACACACTTATCCTTGGTGATATAAAAATTCCAGAGGAGGGCAGCAAAGATAAAAAGAAAAAAAAAAAAAAAACTTAGGTGGAAAAAAACACATTCTTATTTTTCAAATTCCAAATTTTTCACAATAGTAAGTATCACTGTGATGGGGCATTTATTAGCTTTAAATTATTAATTTGTTTCCTAAAATAAGAAAATAATGAAAGCACATAGTTAATCTGTCTATCTTTCTTGGTCTGTCTCTTTGAAAGTCCTATACATATTCATACTTCTAAAGAGTATTACAATAGCGTTATCCCAGCTGAAAAGTATACTATTTTAGTTACTTCTTTATTTGATAGATACTTATTGAGTGTTTATACTATGAGCTCTGTTGTTTTAGGTGGTAGGTATCTGATGCACAATTTCATTGAAGAAACAGTGCCTGATTTAATAAAGTTCAAACCTGGTGAATGAAGTATAGACTTAATCTGTAAATTGAAATGGGTTAACCATTATACTGATGACAGCCCATATACTTTGATATGAGTATGAAATGAAGCTATGGCTGGCCAATCAGAACTTGAATTTAACTCTGAATATATGCATGGAAAAAATAGTTTGGGGAATAATTTATAATGGTCAAAACATTAAAAAGTTTAAAAATGAGTTTTATAAAAGATTTAAGTTTATGTCAGTGTCATTAGACAACAGAAATTTAACAGACTAAATTTAAAACTTCGCTAAAAGAAGCTGAATTTTAATTTAGTTCCCAACTCTTAGCAAGCTTGATACTCTGAGATATGACATAGTTTCTTCTGTGCCTTAAGTTTATGAGCTTATATGAAACTAGAAGCCTGGAGCATGAAATTTGTGCATGGGGCTGGGGAGTTGCCCTCAGCCCAGCCTGCACTGTCTCCAATCTGGGAGCCCTCTGGGGATGTCTGACTGCCAGTTTAGGCCCTATCCCCGGGGATTGGACCTAAACCAGCAATCAGACATTCTTCTCACAATCCTGGACTGCTGGCTCCTAATCGCTCATCTGCCTGCCTGCCTGCCTGGTTGCCCCTAACTGCCCGCCGCTGCTGGCCAGGTCACCCCCAACTGACCCCTCCCTGCCGGCCTGGGTCGCTCCTAACTGCCCCGCCCCTGCCTGTCTGGTCACCTCTTACTGCCCCCCTCTGCCAGCCTGGTCACCCCTAACTTCCCCCCCTGCCAGCCTAATTGCCCTAATTGTTACCCCTGCCGTTCTGGTTGCCCCTAACTGCCCCCTGGCTGGTCTGGTTGCCCCACACAGCCTGCTTGTTCAGTTGTTTGGTCATCCCTCACTAACCCCCCTGTCGGCCTGGTCACCCCACGCAGCCTGCTTGTTCAGTCATTTGGTCGTCCCTCACTAACCCCCCTGCTGACCTGGTCATAGGCACCCATCTTGTGAGGGTCTGAGGGTCAATTTGCATATTATCTCTTTATTATATAGGGTTAAAAGGCTGTTTGGTTTCTATTTCAAATTTCAGACGACAGCATGTGTTCTTTCCACTGTGAATGAGTCTGCTATTTACACAGTGATATCTACATTTTGCTATTAAGCCTAGAAACCTTTGGAGTACACCTATAAAACACTGAATGGTCATAAGCCTGTAAAACACATTAATATGGTGTTATTTAACACATGTATTATAATTTCAATAATCCTACATAATTGTGTGTACCATTATATATATATTCAACTGTCTCTAGACTTTATATCCACTCTGATGAGGGTTCAAATTTAGTCATTCTGTGTTTGACTATGCTCTTTCTGATGAATTGAAGACTGTTAGTAGAGTCAAAATCCATTTTTTAAGGGAAGTTTTTAAAATACAAAGCAACACATCTCAAAATAAAGAAAAGGGAATGCAGTACAAGTTTTGTATTATGGTATTCAATCCTTTCAAAAATCAGGCTTATTTCTGGATTTCCAAACTCATCTCCCACCTTATCCTCCCTTTATCTTAGTCACTTGCCTTACTGGACTACCTGCCCAGAGCCCCAAACACCCAATATACTGCCCTTCTTCTCACAATTTACCTCAAGCTCTTTTATAGGCCTAAAATAACCTTGCCTCTCTTTTTACCCTTTGAAATCCTGTATGGCTATTACATTATATTAATGCCAGCCTTACCCACTAAATTTATTTCACCAAATCCTTTGATATCCTTTATGGCTAAGACCAAATGTCACTCCTTCCAGTATGGGTTTATGGTAAAACATTTTTGCGAAATTCTCATTGATCCACAAGTCTGTCCTTCTCTGTGCTCCCAGGTCACTTGCCTGGTCCTTTCATCATGGGGTTAAATAAGCGATTTCAGCTGCTTGGTGGGAGGGTCCTTATGTTCTTCATCTAAGCGTCATCAATGTACCTAACAGAATTTTTACTAGAAGTGTCTTGAACAAATGAATAGAGAAACACATAAGAATCATCCTAACTTCTTTAACCTGTGGTCTAGATAACTGTGTCGTGGCTGCTCACGAAATTGTAGTTGCTTATTTTATAGGGCAATGTCAGAG